AGAAATGTGTAGCATTTGTTGTACGAAAAATAAGGAGAAAGAAATAGAGAAAAACTTGTTATAATTTTGATCCGGTTTTTACATTGTGTTCTTTATATTCCCCGTATTTCATAACAGATTATTATTTTTTAGTTATCATCACACATTTGTCTGGTAACAAACCTTTTTTCAGTCAAACCAGAAAAGAATAAAATCAAAGCTCCAATTTTTTTTCTCATGGTGGAAATATTGCTGCTACTGCTTTATCCAACTTTAATTTTCTAAGTCAGAGGCTAATAAATATCTAGAGGAAAATATATGGAAGATGCTACCGTCCCATTATAGAACCATCCCGTCAAGGTCTGTAACCGTTAGATCGATGGTTACATGATGATCTAACGGTTAAAAATCTCGACGGAATGATCCAGTAACGGTTCATGAATGTCATGTTTGTAGTTTGTGTGGTGTCTGTTATTAGTTAATGACTGGTCAATATTTGACATCAATGTCTAAAATCAAATATATGTTCGATCAAACTTCACCAGAGCCAATTAAATATATAGCTTTGGACCATAGAAAATGACACACCTTATTAAAAAATGGTATTACTAGGTCTTGGTCCTGACTAGATTCATGAGTGGGCACAATTTTTTTGCATGTAGCGGTCTGTTTATTAGACGGGTCGACTTAATATATTTTTTCTATTATAAAAATATATTTATTTATGAAATATTATGTTTTGTTTATTTTTTTATTAATAGAACATTTTAATTTAAAAGTATATATATATGTTTAAATGTATATTTTCATTATATTGATCTATGTTTATTTTACTCATACATATAATTTATTGGATACTTGAGTACACAATCACATGTCTATAGTCTCTTAACCTAAAGGATAAATAAATAAATAAATAAATAAATTTTAAAAAATGCACAATCACGTACATTTAAAATCATTAAATAGGATGAAATGGCATATAACTAAAAAAAAAAAAAAAAAAATCTGGCATCAACTGACAGAATTCAATAGTATATGCCATAATTCTTAATTAGATTTGATATTCATATGCCTATTTATTTTCTATTAATAAACTCCTCCTCAGTGTGTATAATTGTGAATTAATGTATAGCACATGATATGTTTTAAAACAATGTGACGATATTCATTGTATGCATATATTGTAGGTTTATTCTTCACTGTTCAATATGGTGGACAAATAATGTGTTATACATGAAAAAAATAAAAAAAATCATTGTCATTATTTTTATTTTTTTTGTCGGAACGATAGAGGATTGTCATTAATTGACAAAGTTCATTTACAGAGAAAATTACATAAAAAAAAAAAAACAGTCTTTAAATGTAAAAAATGCTCTGCTTTTCAATACAATTTAGCAGCATGTTATTACCTTTTTGTTAGCAGTAAAGGTAACTTGTTCACAATTTTATTGTAGATTATTACTGTGCATACAGGTGTGTTGAGTAACTTGTATTAAAATAGGGTTAATTATGTGAAATATAAATACTAAATAAATAAAAAAATAAACAGATAGATAAATAAATATCTGTCAAGTTTAAGTCACTTATTCTAGTCAGCTGTTGTCCCAGTCAAGGACACAAGTTCTGGGCCAGACCTGATAATATATTTTTTTTTTTTATTTATTTATATAAAGAATAACCCTAAAACTACTCCAAAACTTGGTCTAATTGCAAAATAATTCTAGTATTCATTTGAAATTGTGAATTGGGTCATCTTGAACATGTACCACATCAGTCAACTAAAACAGTCTTCCATCAATATTTTGCTAAATTATATATAGATATTTTAAGTTAAATATGCTCTAATATTCAATCATGTGCATTTACATGGATGTATATAAAGTATTATAAATTATTTTTATGCATATAATATTAAAATTGTAAGTTAGATAAAGGTATTATGTTTCAAAATTCGATCATTGATTAAAATAAATTGTAAATAATGATTTGATTGCATATGAATCAGTATATTGATTGCATAAAATATAATAAATAGATTAATTTTTGTAATTTTGGGTGATATGTATGTATTAATGATTATGATATCAATTCCTGAAAAATGAGCTCAATAAATACTATTAATTGGAAATGGGAGATGCATGTATACCACATGTGTGGACCTCAATCCACCCATTTTTAATATCTAAACCTATTTTATGGGACCTCATAATTTATATGTCCAATTTTGGTGCATGTGTCTACTATCACAAATGCCAATATTGGATGACTTAAATTGTTACTCAGGCATATTTTATGCAAAAATCATACTTATATTATGAAATGTTACAGTTTTTTTATTTTTATTACATTTGCACCGTAAAATGTGACATTTAAGTATGAAAATTTGTATATATATATATATATATTGAAAAAATAAGACCATCTACTCTTCTTTTTTTTTTTT